AAAAAAAAAAAAAAAAAAAAATAAATAAAAACATTTTTCAAAGAGAATAAATATATTAATTTTCATCTAAGCCCAATAATATCCTCAGTTAAATGCACTCCTATTTTTCATTTTGGAACAACAAAATTTAATATTTTGCATGTGTGTTTGAGAAAAAATGCATTTGTGAAGCGTATTGCAAATATTTTTGAGCTGTTAAATAAATACTAGACCAGGTAATGGCAGGTGGGTGGACGCTGGCTGTGCCCCACAGCAGTTTGTTCAATTTATGGCATCAAAGTTTAAAACGATAACTGAAAATGTTGACCCTAGAAAAGAGTCGCAGGTTGATGACCACCCCATAAAATGCCATGCGCCCAGCGAGGAGACATTTCACATATTCATATATATTTTTCAACATTTTTATATGGATTTATTTTTATTTTTATTTTTATTTTTTGTTTTAGGACTTTTGTTGTTGAACTGAAAGCAGTGGCTGGCAGCTGAATCGTGCAAGGGGCTAACGGGGCATGCAAAATACATAATTGTTGCTCAAATAATGGGAGATTTAATGCAAGAGTGAAATTCAATCACATCAATAAATAAATTGCATTAATTTATTTAATGCAATTAAATATAATCATAAAATGATTGCAATTGCTCTTCAGACACTTGAGAGCGGCTTTTATTATTGAACATACAAATAGATGTCAATCAAGAGCCGTAAATTGTCTCTGGCAGACAGGGCCATTTATAAGCCTTTCACCGACCCGACTACGTCTCTGAGCTTGGGTTTAAGAACCTCGGCGCACCAATGACAGCTGCAATGGAAATTCCCTCAGGAGTCGCGCCGTTTCTGTTGTTGTTGAAGTTGGCAATTTGTGGAGTTTGTGCACCGCCTGCCGTTAATTACACAAATGCAAAAGTCCGCTGGGCAGCCAAATTGGTTGGTAATAAATAAATTCAATTGAATAATTTATTTAATTTATTTGCGGCTCTGCAGCCCCGACAAAACAAAATATCAACAAAATGTTTTGGTTTTTGTTGTCGTTGCTGCTGCTGCTGCCGTTGCTGCTGCTGCTGCTGTGTGGCAGGTAAAAACGGCAGCGAGTGCCCAAAACAGGCTAACGTTTATTTTTTCATTGCGGAAGTGTGCAGCAAATGGCCGACGAGGTGTTAGAATTTGCAGCAGCTAAAAAAATAGCAAAGCTTCAAAATAAAAAATAAATAAAAACAACAACTCACATATTTCACCAACAACAAAAACACACTGCTTGTGTGTGTGTGTGTGTGTGTGTGTGTATGCGGCAACGACCAAGTGAATTTGTGGCACAAAAACAAATCGTTTAATTGGCTCAAACAAAACGTAACCACTACGTACTAAAGCCACCGACGTCGCCGCCGATTATATAACACCAGGCCAAAACCAACCAATGCGCTGCCCAAACAATGCCGTTGACAGCAGACTCGCAGCCGCAGTCGACGTCGACGTCGACATCACAGCCGCCGTCGCAGTCTTCGCCGTGGCCCAAACCCAAACCCGTTTGCTACACTTACCCGTTTTATTTTTCTTCTTTTTTTTTTTCTTTTCTTAAGAGCAAAACTGACGCAAGGGTATCAACGGAGCACCAACTCCACCTCCGCCTCCACCACTTGCACCACTATTGGACAATCCCCATCCAGTCGAACAACGGGTTTAGCATGTTGTTCACTTTGGCGTCTTGGCTCTGGTTTATTATCTAGCCACAGCCGATTGGCTACACACAAATTATGAACAGAAATCTTGGCTCGCTTGGCACATTCGCACACAGGCCCTGATAGAAGTCGGTCCAGTTCCACTCGCAATCGCAATCAGAGTCTCAGTCTCAGTCTCAGTTTTAGCCTAGAAATGAAAGTCAACGCTTTATTGATCAGCTTTGCAGTTGTGTTGGCAACAGTTGCCGTCGGCCAGGTAACTGAACGTGCCCTTGGCTAGCCGAACTGAGCCTTCATATTGACAACCTCCTTTCAGGTTAGCGCAAAGTTTACGATACGCACGCACGAGGACGCRGTGGASGCGCAYGAAGAGTGCCAGGAGAAGTACAACGTGCCCGAGGACATTTACGAGCAGTACCTGAACTATGTGTTCCCTGAGCACCGTCGCACCGCCTGCTACGTGAAGTGCT